AGAATACCAAAAGAATGTATTTGGAAGAGTGATCAAGAGCTTGCTTGCAACATCTTAAATTTAACGCATTTAACTGATTGAGTAAGTAATTAAAGATACCAATTTGTGATTGAACAGTGAGATCTGTACAGAATATATAAATTTATGTGAGTGATGATGAACTTTGCTTTCTTTAAAAATTCATATTTCTTTTTAAAATGACTGCTACGTAATTTAACACATTTCCTTTTGCACCACTTTCCAGAACTATTGAATCTAATTGACACTCAATTCAGGCAATAACTTTATCATTCATAGTTCACGTATTTTTTACACATTAATGGTTCTGATTTACTATTTGAATTTTTGTGCCTTAAGCATTCTGGGATGATTTTAAGTATACAAACATATTTATCACTAAACATATTAAGCATGATAAGGTCTCCAGATTTATTACTTTATTGAAAGGAAAGACTAAATATTTAAATTACTTTCTAGATCTGTTAGGGACCTCTCTAAAGTACTCAGGAGCAACAGTGTCTCTCTGGAGACTAAGGTGCGCCTGATACAGGCCATAGTATTTGCAATCACTTGTTATGCATCAGAGTTGGACAATGACTAGGGAGGACAGAAGGAGAGTGGATGCTTTTAAGCTGTGGTGCTGGAGAAGAGTACTGAATGTACCTGGACTGCCAGGAAAACAAACAGATTCATCTTGGAGAGGATTAACCCAAGCTACTCCTTGGAGGCAAGGATTCTGGAGCTTCGTCTGACATGCTTTGGACATGTTGCCAGGAGGAACGGGTCCTTGGAGAGGGACATCATGCTTGGGAGGGTGGAGTGACGGCGCAGGAGGGGAAGACCCTCTATGAGATGGATTGATTCGGTGACTGGGGTAATCGGGATGGGTGTGTCAGAGGCAGTGCGGTTGGCGCAGGATAGAGCAGGATTTAGGACTGTTGTGCATAGGGTCGCTATGAGTCGCCAACGACTCAATGGCACATAACAACAACAATTCTAGAAATGGTGGAAAATCAAATTTGATGAACCTAACTACAAAAATGAGACAAAGGTGTGCCTGATCCAGACCATAGTCTGCAATTACCTGCTGTGTGTCATAAAGCTGGACAATGACTAGGGATGATAGAAGAAGAATTGATGCTTTTGAGCTGTGGTGTTAGAGAAGAGTACTGAATATACCATGGACTGCTAGGAGAACAAACAGGTTGGTCCTACAGAGGATGAAATCTTGACTAAAGCTTTGTCTAACATACTTTGGACAAGTTGCAAGAAGAGATCAGTCGTTGGAGAGGGATGTCATGCTTGGGAGGGTGGAAGGACAGCACAGGAGAGGAAGACCCTCAATGAGACGGATTGATTCAGTGACTGGGGAAATGGTGGTAGGTGTGTCAGAGACATTAAGATTGGCACAGGGTAGACAGGGTTTAGGGCTACTGTGCATAGGGTCGCTATGAGTCACAAGTGTCTCGACAGCACGTAACAACAATAACAACTGCAAAAAGTGATCTCTGGTAGTTAGCTTAGTGGTAAAAATTTGTGCTGCCAACATATATGCATGTGTTTCAAATGCACAAGTTTCTCTGTGGAGAATAAAATAGTCAATCTTCTACGCAGTTTACAGCTCTGTAAACTTGTTGGAGATCAGCTGTAAGTTGGTTATGACTCAATGGTATATCGCAAAACAACTAGAAGTGCATTGACATCTTCTTTTTGAATGTGTTTAATTCTACATAAAACTTTCAGCCTAATATGATACCAAGATTAAACAATATTAGAAAACTCCAAAAAGCCAGAAAAAGAAATACAAGTTCTACTTCCACAAACTAATGCATCAGTGATTTAAAAACTCTTGAATCAAGCAATAACTTGGAGAGTCATTTTTAATACATAAATTATTATTGCTTAGTTGTCTTTTGCCAGACTGTTGTGTTGTTGTTGCCAGATTGAGTAAGTAAATTCTTTGATACTGATTTAGCTATTAGTAAATGAAAATGGGTTTGAATTCTATAGCTCAGTCTTGTTGTGGCAGAAAGCTGTGCTGCAATCCCAAAGGCAGACTGTTTTAATCCATTCACTGCTTTACAGGAGAATGATGGGCAATTTCCTCCAGTGTGATTAACTGCCTCTGAAAACCCATAGATTGTTAGCTACGGGTCAGTTCCGACTTGATGGTACACAGCAACAACAACAGTTTTCATAAGGTCATGCACTCTATTTATAAAAAGTTGGCCTTGTCAGTGGAAAACAAAAATTCATTAATAGGCTAATTGATTGTTTAAGTAATTAATATCCCTAGGCTTTCCTTGTAGGGGTTGCTAAGAAAAGATCTATCTATCTATATATGTAATCTTTGCACAACAGATCACCTTGTACTTACATAAAATTTTCATTTTCTGTAAGAAATTTAAAAGTTGAAAAATTCTAGAATACATTCATTTTACTTCATACAATACAATTTCAGAGTATAAGCCAAGAAAGCAGTTCTCATAATTTATGAATGAACCTTTTTAAAAGATACAACATAAGACGTACACACAGAGAAAATTACAATAAAATAAGTATTTGTAATCTATCTTATCAATGAAATAACTATTTATAACCTATTTTATCTATACTCAGACTCACCATTGTATGCTACAATTCCAGTTACAGAGAATTAACCTCAATATAACCTACTTAAATCCATTTTGTTTATGTCATAAAACCAGTGCTTCAATATTAGATTAAGCATAAATGTATTGCATGACTGCTCTTTATGAAATAATATTAAATTTTTAAGTCCTCAATTCAGAAATATTCAATTCACATATTTCTATTGCAGTCATACTGGGGCTATGATATTTGTAAAATAAAGCTATAATTATTATGTATTTTCTATCCTTTTTCTTCAAGGATATTTCAACTGCTAAGGATCCAAGTATTAAAAAACGTACAATCTGCACCATATATAAATGCTATATTCTATAAAAAATAGACCCATAATACAATTATATCCATAAAGGTGGCAAATCACGCTATGTGCCAAAAATCCTTGCAAAGGAGAAATATCGCAACTTAAATAAAACAGGATGATGGTAAAATAATAGGAATATATTTTAAGAAGTGATAGGGTGATAAGAAATAATACTATTACTTCTAGAAATAATATAAGAAATAACTGGATTGTGATCTAAAAAATAATTAAATCTAAACATTTCCTGAGAAATTGTCTCTATTTTTTAAGCTTTATGGTAAACAGTCTTATAACTTATTTTCTGACAGATCAATAGTTAGAAAGAAAAAAAAAAACAAACCCCAAACAAAAAGAAACCCCAAATAAACAAACTTGTTAGTTCACTACTAGCTGGAAATTTGGTTTGGGGTTGAGATAGATAACATCTAAGGATAACAGAATAAGAATCAATGCTTTTGCATTGTGGTCCTGGAAAAGTATCAAACATACCATAGACTGCCAAAAAACCAAATAGATTTGTCTTGAAGAGGGTGAAATCAAGTTTCTCCTCGGAGGCCAGAATTTTGTAGTTCCATCTCACATACTTTGGGCACGTGGCCAGGAGCGACTGCTACTTGGAGAAGGACATCATGTATGGAAGGGTGGCGGGACAGTGCAGGAGAGACGCCATATGAGATGGGTTAATATAGTAACTGGGGCAATGGAGGTGGGTGTATTAGAGTCAGTGAGACTGGCTCAGGACAGGGCAGGCTTCACAGCTGTTTTGTACAGCATCACTATGAGTTGCAGGTAACTGTACGACGCATAACAACAACAACAACAACAAAACAATCGTGCATTACTCTATGAATTTTAGAGTCTTTATACTTCCTGATTTTAACTGAATGTCCAATATATCATAGGGAATTCTGGTGGACTCTTGGGTAAGAAGTTGTGCTGACAACCCCAAGGCAAGCAGTTCAAATCCACCAACTGCTCAGCAGAAGAAGGATGGGCAATTTATAGCCTGAGAAAATCTGTTTGACGTATCAATTCCTTTTCCTGTAGTTTCTCCTTTATTCATAGTTATGGACTACAAAAAATTCTCAAATATTATAAAAAATATGAGTTGATAAATCTATCAATGGGAAAAAGATGTCTAACACCAGCCTTTTAACATTCAATAGTGTTTTGTGTTCTCAGCCATATAACAAGTATTTAACTTTTTTTTTTTTTTTTTTTTTTTTATTTTCCATTTTTTTTAATTCATTTTCAGAAACATTTACAGAGATTTGGGATTTTCATTCATTCATTGTTGCACTTTTTTCTTTACCCCCCCCTTCCCCCAGTTCACTCCTCTCTTTGAAAAGCAAAAGCTAAACTTCTTCATTGGTACAAAATACCCCCTGACACAGGCCCTGGCCCCCTCTTCCCCGCAGCCCCAACTGTACTCCACTATGCAATCTTAATTCTGTATCCTGATAATCACAATATGCTAAAAGAATAAAGATTTTATTCTATTTTTATAATGCAGGGCGGAGAGTCAGCAAAGGAGAATAGAAAGACCCTCAACCAGGTGGTTTGACACAGTGACTGTTGCAATGGGCTGTTGTGTGTCAGGAAGTGTGAGGATGGCACAGGATAGAAGAGGGTTCAGATCTTTTGTTCATAGTTTGACTATGAGTCATACTTGACTCAAGGACACCTAACAACAACGAACAACTTTGACATTTTCAGTCTTTTCTAATTGGTAGACATTTTTAAAATAATTTCTTTTACCTATATCTTAGGCCTGCAAATAAAAATTATGACTACATATAACCCTCTCAGGGAAAAAATAAAGAAAAACTTAATAGGGTTATAAATCATCAACTTAAAAACTGGTACATTTTATATATCTAGAAAGAGCAAGTTTAAAAACACAAGCAAATCAATATAAAAACAAATCCCAAGTAATTAGTGGTGAATTAAAAGTTGTTAAGAGATACATGAATTTGCAAAATTCGCAGTCTCATGTGAGTATTTTAAAATGTACCGAGGAGGGTCAAACTGAATACTATCAACTTACTTCTGGAGCCTGAAGAGTTCTTCACTGCTGTGAAGGCGTCAGCACTCGGCTTGGCTGCTGCAGAAGACAGACAGGGTGAAAGCATTTCCAAAGCTGATTTGAAGATGGTGTTAGGAATAAGGATGTTCAGCTACTACATAACTTCTCACCACCTGGCCGAACGGTTACAGGAACTCTTCAAAAGAGATAAGCATAAAAAAATATGAAAAAAATTACAAAGGAAATATTCTCAAACAACTTAATACCTGCATGATCAATCTTCAGTTATTATTAAGAATATTATTAACTAGAATGTAAACAGATTTATATGAGGATTTCTTGTCCAACATGAAATACACTGTGATGATAATAACTATGGTATCATACTACTTTTCCTTTTTTGATAGGAGTTCTTATCTCTCAAACATGAAGAGTGCTTAGATAACTTCCAACTAAGTAATTAATCTTATTAATACTTCAGTTAATTCAACTTCTAGGCTAATGTCACAAACTGGATAGCTAATCACCTACTTTGTACTAAACATATGAAGTTATGGTAATAGCTCTAAAAGAAGCTAACAAAATCTTGTTCTCATGGAGCTAAATAAACCTATGTCATGTTGTCTGATTTTCCTAACCAATGCAACACTCAAGTTTATGAAGAAAACATAGGCATGCATTTTGTACTTTATGCCGCAAGATCGCTATTTTCTTCTATTTCTGAGGTTCCACACCGTTGATGATCCTCCTGACTCTTTGTAATGCAGCATTTACTTCTCATTTCCCTTAAAATCCATTTAATAAGACTAACTTATTTTTCAACCACTGACATTTTTAATGCAGAATCTGATAAGGGCATCTTTTTTAAATGTTAAAGATAATTTTTTAATGTTAAAGATGAATAAAAGGAACATAATTTCAGTTTGACTCTGGATCGCTGGTGGCAAGAGTTAGGCATTTAGTGTTTAACTAAAAAGTTGATGGCTTAATCTACAGCTTTAAAAACCTGATAAGAAAGTTCTACTTTCTCTTTTAGGTCACTATGAATCAAAACTGACTTAAAGCCACATAATACACAAATTCACACACAGATGATTTATTTCATTTGCAGAAGTAAAGACATTGATTTTTACAGCATAAAAATGAATAAAGTAAAATAAAAGCAAACAAAGAGATAGAATAGTCAATTCTTGTTGTTGTTGTTATGTGCCATTGAGTCATCCATGATTCATAGTGACCCTATGTACAGTAGCTATGAACCTGCCCTATTCTGAGCCAGTCTCACTATCCCCAACACACCTAATCTGATTGTTCTAGTTACCATGTCAATCCATCTCATTCAGGGCCTTTTTCTCCTGTGTTGTCTCGCTGCTCTTTCAAACATGATGTCCTTCTCCGAGAACTGGTCCCTCCTCACACGTGCCCAAAGTATGTGAGATAGAGTTTCAAAATCCTAGCCTCCAAGGAGAAACTTGGTTTCATCCTTTCCTAGACAGACCTATTCATTCTCCTAGCACTCCATGGTATGTTCAATACTCTTCTCCAGCACCACAACTCAAAGGCATCAATTCTTGTTCTGTCATCCTTAGTCATTGTCCAGGTCTCTGAAGCATAGCAAATGTATGTAATAACCATGTCCAGGATCAGGTGCATCTTAGCATGTGATGTCTGGATAAGACTGAAGAATTGATGCTGTTATAATGTGATACTAGAAAAGAATATTGAATGTGCTATGGTTTGTCAAAAGAACAAGTAGTTTTGTTTTGGAAGAAGTACTGCTAGAGTGTTCCTTAAAAGTAGAAAAAAAAATTAGACTTTGTCTGACATATTTTGGGTGTGTTGTCATAATGGGTCAGTCCTTGAAAAGGGGTAGCATGCTTAGACATGTGTAAAGAGAGGAGAGGAAGACCATCAAAGAGATTAAGTTACACAATAAATGCAAAATTGATCTGCCCAGGGAAAACCGTAAGAATAACACAAGATCAAACAAGCTTTTTCTTTACTGTGCATAAGGTAGTTAGAGTTGGAGTCCTTTTGGTGGCGTCTAGCAACAACATCAATCACCCTGAGATCTGCATTGGGTTGTTGTTGTTTTTTTTGCCATGCATTTCCTTTCATACATATTTTAAACTATTTTTACGTTAATATACATAGTATAAAAGTTTAAGAAATCCAAAAGGAAATAACCAGCAAAGGTAAACATGCCCCTTAAAGAAAACCCATTTTACCCTTCATATGTCCTTTCAGAAATGGTCTCTCTGCTCATGAATGTGTTTTTCTATATGTGTGCAATCTATCCATACATCAGAGAACTGTAGTCTGCTTTGTTCTCCTTTTTTTAAAATATATTGGCTAAATCTTGGAGATACTCTGTTTTCCATAATCAACGCTACTTAGTCTATGTACATATACCATAAGGACACAATATACTCTTCTCATATTTTATTTCTTATTTAAAAAGATGCAAGTTATGGACACAATATACTCTTCTCATATTTTATTTCTTATTTAAAAAGATGCAAGTTTCTGGAGTTATTGTTATATATATTGTTGTCCACCATCAAGTCAGAACTGACTTATGGCTGACCCTCCAATGGGTTTTCAGAGGAAGTAAATCACACAGGAAGAGATTTCCCATCCTTCTCCTGTGGAGCAACTGGTGGATTTGTACCACGTACCTTTGGTATTGCAGTGCTGCTTCTTACCACTAGCTCATCAGATTGTCCAAAATGGCTTCCCTAGCCAATGATTTTGACTTTGACATGTGGATGTGCTGGAATATGCAAATAAGGAATATTAGCCTATCTCCAAGGGTATTGACGAGTCTCAGTACTAAATTGAACAGATTCAGTAGTAGATTTTAGGGATCTGACCACTAGCAAGAAGAGCAAGAGAATATAACAAGTCTTTCAGGGCCAGAAATTCTTTTGCTAGTCATACCAGGGTGTATGGGAGCAACAGCCATAGCAACCAGCAGCAGAGAACCAGACACTTGATATGAGATAGGCTAAGCTTAGAACTACCATATTATGGATCTGGAATTAAGAGCTTTTTTCTGAAGTTTATTGGAGGACTAGGGTGAGGGAGGATAATCATAATTGTCAGGACTAACAGCCTAAAGCTGTGAGGCTGAAGGCTGAGGTCCTATGAGCACATTTCAGAATCTATCCTGACTGACTGTATTCTGCTGCTAACCTGCATTTTAGCCTTTTGACTTTCTTAATATGGTTCTATGTGATCTGTGAGCTATTACAAAGATTTTTGGACCCAGTACAGCAGTAAGATTGATGTTGAGATGAGTAGAAAGAGGTCTAGGAGCATGAGGGACATGTCTGACCTGATGGGAATTGGTTTTGTGTTGCTGATTGGGACAGTTCCCGCTTGTGGAGTTCGTGGAAGTCAGATATGGCTAACACCATGTGGTCCTTGCTTTTTTAATAAGATACTTGTATAATAAATTTCTTATAGTAAAATATTTAGGTCAAAGAGTATAATTGGTTCTACATCTGTAGTTATACTTATCTCTATAATGTAATAAATGATATGAACAAAGGATAAACATTTTAAATATGAAATAGACTTTATGTTGTTGCAATCTTGTAGTAAGGGATAACTCCAAATATCAGCCTAACCCAAAGAAAATTGATTATGGAAGCCAATATTTCTAAATTTTTAAGTTAACATTGAAAAAAATATAATTGCTACAGATCCTACCTAAATCCTGATCCCTCCTGAGGATTTGCTTGTGGGTTTTTTGTTGTGACTGTGGTTGTTTTAAATGCATAGTCCATCATTTATTTATGAGAACAAAATTTTCTTTTCAAAGTAACTTTTACTACACATTTAGAACCTGCATTACCTCCTATCATCCTGAAAAGAATTGAATTAGGTAAATATATGTTCTCATGTTACTGCTAATAAGGCAAGAGTAAAGAAAAGATAGCTAACCATAGACAAGGTCACACAGCTGTTAGCTGAAGAACCTGGGGTCTCAGATAGAGGTTTCTCACTCCAGCTCAATGCTAAGATTCTTATGAATGGAATTTTCAGAAACCATTATAGAATGCTATGTTAAAAAGAACTGAAAAAAGGGTTTTGGTGTGTTTTTTTTTTTTAAAAAAACAAACACCACAAAACGATGTCTTTCTGTTAGTGCAAACCCCAAGATTCTAATACTATAATTTTAATTATTATCATATAAAGATTTTCTGGTTTTCTTTATAATTGAAAGGCTACCTCTTCCATGAAATTCTGATCATTCCACTACTTTCAAGCTTTTTTTACCTTTATCTTCTTTCACAATCTCGGAAAAACTGGCGAACATTATTGTTTATGTAAATGAACTTCCAAGAAATATTTATGTACATGAACTCCCTCTAAAGATTATTTTGGATGCCAATACTAACTATATCAGTAAGTTATTAGGATGCATCTTCATCAAAAACTGAAACTCAAGACCTACTAGCTCCCAATGATAATTCCTTTCCTCTCTGCAGCATCTGTATTGTGTGTTCATCAGCTGCCTGAACAATCAACGCATGGGAGCCTTATTATTTATTGGTAATAGTGAGTTTCGGGTTTACAGCTCTTACAGATTTGGGTTATAATTAAATGACACTTAGGTATTTAAGTATACCATAAGAAAAACATATGACAAAATTGTGTAAATATTGCAAAGAATAAGATATAAATTAGGGTGCTTTAGTTATACAGATTCCAATTAATATTTCTTCCCTCCTGAGAAAGTTATGTATATGGCTCCCATAAGTTTTCCTCTTCAACAAAATATTTCACACATCTGAAAACATCCTTTTAAGTATCCTCCCAGCTTTCAGAATCATGAATGCAACAATGTTTACAATATTCATCCTATATTTCTTCAATTTATTGCTTGATGTTGTTGTTGTTGTTAGGTGATGTCAACTAACCCTATGAATGAAAGATCTGAACCTAGTCCTGTCCTCACACTTCCTGACAAATAAAAGCTTGTGTCAATTTACCTGGTTCTTGCCAATATGATGTCCCTCTCCAAGGAATAGGCTCTCCTAGCAATATTTCCAAAAGTATCAGAAAGAATTGACAATGAAAAGTTTCAGGAAGTACCATGTGAACAGAAGCCGATACTAATGAAAGAGGAAGTGGAAGCTGCACTGAAGGTCTTGGCAAAAAGTAAGGCCCCAGGAATCTATGGAATAC